CCATAGCAAGAAGTGCAGTAGTAAGCCTCAGCAACATTTGGAAAGACCGCTCGATCACACTCCAATCAAAAATCCGAATCCTCCATACGCTAGTATTCCCTGTAGCAACTTATGGATGTGAATGTTGGGTCCTCAAGAAATGTGACAGGAACAGACTGACGTCCTTCGAGATATGGTGTTACAGAAGAATTATGCGTATAAGTTGGAGAGAAAGGAAAACGAACGAATGGGTCCTGGAAAGGATCGGCCAAGCAACCCTCATAAACAGTATCAACAAAAGGAAGTTATCCTTTATTGGCCATGTTGCGAGAAGTAAAGGCTTGGGAAATGACATTCTTTCGGGAATGGTGGACGGAAAGAGGAAACGAGGAAGACCACGAAGGAAACTGGAGAACGACGTGGAAGATTTACTGGGAATGACCATGGCCGAGCTGCTTCGGAAGGCGCAAGACAGGGACACTTGGCGGACAACCATTGCGTGTGCCACGGCGGGTCAGCCTTGACCCTTCCGTTACTGATGATGATGATGACAATCAGGCCATTGAACTAGCTAGCAATTTGTAATTTCTATTGCACATGAGAAATGTTCTTATAAAAGTATCATGAAACAATGATCTATTGCAAAATTTCTAGAAAATACCTATATGTTGTTACTAGTTTGAAATAATAGCTGTGGATTTGCAAACTTTATATAGATATGATATGATAATAGATCTCCTAAGGAGACTATTTTTAAAATTATCAAAATTTTATATATAATTTGATGCTTTTATAGGCATAGAAGGTAAAAACTAAAAAACCAATATGTGAATAAAAGTGTAAAATCCAAAATAGAAAAATGGGAAAAAAGGAGATAAGGAGTAGTCACTACCACCTGGTTACAGCCTTTAACTCAGATGGGGGGTGGTTGTGTATGCCCCTGTATGTTTTAAGCAACTAGCTTGTAAGTGGGCAGAAAATGACAAAAAAGCAACTCATCAGCCAGAAACCCACGAGGGACATTTCGGGGCTTTAATTCGGTATGTCCATTTCTCGTAGGCGCCCCTCGCAATCCTGCGTCCAGGATCACGGTTGCAAAGGTCAGGAAATACAAACAAAAAATTATAGATATTAAAACGATCAACAAAAAGTAGCAATCGACACAGAGTGCTTACTAAAGTAGGACTGTAGAGTGTATGGAGGCATTTAAATTGAGTGGGTGAAGAGGATAAACATGGTACGGTGTGGCTTTGGGAATAAAGGGCTAGGTGAAATGGGAAGGGTTAAAAGTATCACCTGTGCATAACAGCATAAAGTTAGAGTTGGCGGGGTTGGGTGTGGCTATGGGAAGGGCGTGCCAAATGGTAACTCTTGTAGGGAAAAGAGGGGCAAGTTATCACTCCCACAAAGCCGGTAGCCAGATAACAGGATGCATGTAATCTCCAACCTTCATCTATAATTTTTGTGCAAGATTCTTTCTGATGATCCATAAAAGAGTTTGTTACCTTTTTTATGCTTAGAATAATAAGGTTGACAGAGATAAATACTAACATACCAGTGAAATTTACTTTAGAGTCATATTAAAACATAAAATGGTCAAAGAAATCACTACCTTGGACACTCAGGGGCATTCAGAGTATAGATATCTAAAAAGATCAAAGAGAAATTTAGGGGCGAAAGGGCAACCACTGTTACTATAGCAAATAGCATCTAAGGATATTAATTTGAAGTAACACAAAGATGAATTTAAATGGTATAGGCCATGCTTACATAAATCAATGCTAGAATAGCAAAGATGAATTTCACAAATATAAACAATTCTGCCTTAACATTAGAATGAGGATATGACACATCATTTTTCCAAAACCAAGGGTGTAAATTCCATGTTTTCTTTTTGGGGTAGTAGATCTTTTGCCCTGGATACTGATCTGGCAAAATTTTGAAATTGAAATAGGCAGAACTCCAAAATTGAAGGCAGAAAATGGTAGAACATGAAGAAAAAGGGTTCAGGAGACAAACCCTGGAAAATTTTACACATCTATACCTCGGGCAAAGGTGTAGTGCACAGATCATTGGCAGGGATGTAGTGCTAGGAGGCTCAGGCCCTCTTGTTGGTACAAAAAGTAGCAAACTTCTACTTTTGGTACTATTTTATGTGACATTTGCTTAAGAGCCCCTGTTGTACTTTTCATATTACCAGATTTCTGACCATTTGGGGGACAGTTCACAAGACTGGCTGTTAGAAGACTTATATTTAGAGGACGAAGTTTTTCTCAAAGCACGGCAAATTGCCTGCTTAGGGGGCTTCCCCAAACCCCTTCCAAACCTCTACACCCTGCAGTCTCGCCAAACGTTCAACATAGTAAAATGATAATAAGGATGAATTGTGACTTACGGGAAAGATTCCATCTTTTGAATAGGGTTCTTCTTCTAATGCGGTGAGACATAATTATTATTCAGCTCCCTGGAAATCTCTGAGATGACACGACGATAACAAATGCCTTCGGTCAGAAATCCATTCACATCTGAAAATTCGTGAAGCATTCCATTTTGAAAAGCTTGCTGCGTTGCCAAGATGAGGATATGCGTTCAGGTTGAAGCTTCTATCTTTGATTTGTCGAATTACTTGTCCATGTTGGCTGGAAGCCTCCGCTGAACATCAATCGCAATGAAGAAAAATAAATAAAACGACAACCGAGATTCCGACATGAATCGCCTCTTCCGAGCCTCTACCCAGTCGTGCGAATTTCAGTGCGAACGTATAACAATGGCGCCGAATGTTGAAACAATAGCCCTTTCACACGTCACAAAGTGCTTTTGTCGAAAAAGATTTTGTCGTATTTTTACGGTGATTCTCAACTTTGAGCGTCTATATCTGGAAAACGAGTTAAGCTTTACGAAAAAAAATTTCACGATAACTTCTTTTTCTCGACTAACTACCAATTTATGCAAAAATCTCATAAAAAAATGTTTGGGCTGGAGTGGCCCTTTAAAGTAAATTTCTCTAATAGTGTTTTTCAGGACAAAATTCAATTGCTCCATACTCAGTACACTACTGTAAAGGGAGAATAGTACATTTTGAGAACCATGTGGCAGGCTCCAGCCCCCACTACCATACTTTTGGATAATGCTCTTATATTTATATAATTATTCATATTTTCCTAAATTGTGTTGTACCAAAGTAGATATATTCATCATGATAAAATTGTTTACTGTTATACGAGAATTGTGCATATTCAAGCCAAATGCTGAATATTCTTGTGCCAGCAGTCTCGACAATTTAATCATCTAAATCTACCCGACAAATATATAGTTTCAGCGGGTCTAATAAAATGGATATCAGGAGAGAGATGTCCTGCCTAATATAATAATATCTAGCATATATACATAACATGTCTAACAAATTGCCTCTAGCCAAAGAAAAAAACAATAACTATTGTCTTAAAATTCACAATTGTACAGCTAAATATCACAGTTTTACAATATATTTGAAATCTCTAAAGAAGCATATCAGATAGGGTTTTGGTACCACTGTTACCTTTGGTACGACATTTTATGAACAGTAATGTGTAATTAACAACTGGAAAAGTAATACATTTGAAATTACTGAAGAAGGTTATGAGAATTGGTTTCGGTACCACCAGTACCTTTGGTACCACATTTTATGAACAGTGATGTGTAATTAACAGCTGGAAAAGAAATCTATTTGAAATCCCTCTAGAAACCCTACGAGAATGGGTTATGGTACCACTGGTACCTATGGAACCACATTTTATGAACAGTGATGTATATATAATTCACAACTGGAAAAGTAATATACTTGAAATCTCTAAAGAATCATATGAGAATGGGTTTTGGTATCACTGGTATATTTGGTACCACATTTAATGAACAGTGAAATGTAATTTACTTGAAATCACTTAAGAACCGTATGAGAAGGGGTTTTGGTACCATCGATACCTTTGGTACCACATTTTATGAACAGTGATGTATAATTCATAACTGGAAAAGTTATATACTTAAAATCTCTAAAGAATCTTATAATAATGGCTATAGGTACCACCAGTACCTTTGGTACCACATTTTATGAATAGTGAAGTGTAATTAACAACTAGAAAAGTAATTTACTTGAAATCTCTAAAGAAGCCCACGAAAATGGCTTTCAGTATCACCAGTACCTCTCTACCACATTTTAAGAACAGTGATGTATTATCCACAACTGGAAAAGCAATAGACTTGAAATATTTAAAGAAGCCTATGAAAATTGGTTTCGGTACCACCGGTACCTTTCTTATCACATTTTATGAAAAGTGATGTAAAATTCACAACTGGAAAAGTAATTTACCTGAAATCTATCAAGAAGCCTATGGGAATGAGTCTTGGTACCTCTGGTACCTTTGATACCACATTCTATAAGCAGTGGTGTATAATTCATAACTGGAAAAGTAATTTACCTGAAATCTATTAAGAAGACTATGGAAATGAGTCTTGGTACCTCTGGTACCTTTGATACCACATTCTATAAGCAGTGGTGTATAATTCATAACTGGAAAAGTAATTTACCTGAAATCTATTAAGAAGACTATGGAAATGAGTCTTGGTACTTCTGGTACCTTTGATACCACATTCTATAAGCAGTGGTGTATAATTCATAACTGGAAAAGTAATTTACCTGAAATCTATTAAGAAGACTATGGAAATGAGTCTTGGTACCTCTGGTACCTTTGATACCACATTCTATAAGTAGTGGTGTATAATTCACACTTGGAAAAGTAATTTACTTGAAATCTTTTAAGAAGCATTTGAGAATGGGTTTTGGTACCACTGGTACCTTTTTTATCACATTTAATGAAAAGTAATGTAAAATTCACAACCAGAAATGTAATTTACTTGAGATCTCTCAAGAAGCCTATGAGAAGGAGCTTTGGTACCTCTGGTACCTTTGGTACCACATTCTATGAGTTATGATGTTTAATTCGCAACTGGAAAAGTAAGTTACTTGAAATCTATTAAGATTTCATGGTTGATTGATTTTTATTTATCTTTTCCAAATTTTTTATGGTTGATTGATCTTTTTTCATTTTTATTTAAAATTTTAATGGTTGATTTATTTTGTTCATTTTAAATTAAAATTTCAATGGTTGTTTGTTTTTTTCAATTTTTTTAATTTTCTTTTGTTGATTGATTTTATTCATTTTTTTTAAATTTTCATGGTTGATTGATATTATTTATTTTTATTTGAATTTTTCATGGTTGATTGATTTTATTTAAATTTTCCATGGTTGATCCCTTCTATTTTTTAAAAAAATTGTTTTTCCCATTGTTGATTGATTTTATTTCTTTTTATATTAAAATTGTTTATGGTTGAATTGTTTTTTTTTCAGATTTTTCATGGTTGATTGGTTTTTTTTAAATTATTTCATGGTTGATTAATTTTATTTATTTTTCATGGTTGATGGGTTTTAATTATTTTTTTTATTATGGTTGATTGGTTTTTTTAAAAGATCTTCATGGTTGATTGATTTTTTTCATGGTTGATTGGTTTTATTTATTTTTTTCATGTTTGATTGGTTTTTTTAATTCTTTTTATTTTTTCATAGTTGATTGGTTCTTTTTTTCAAACTTTCCATGGATGGTTGGTTTAATTAAACTTTTTTTAAATTTTTCATTGTTGATTGGTTTTTTTAATTTTCATATTTTTCTATTGTTGAATGATTTTATTAATTTTTATTTATTTTTTTGAGTTTGATTGATTTCATTAAATTTTTTTAATTTTTTCATTGTTGATTGGATTTATTTATTTTTTTATCATGGTTGATTGGTTTTCATATTTTTTTTATTTTTTTATGGTTGATTGGTTTTAAATAATTTTTATATTTTTTAGGTCGATTGGTTTTTTTTTAATTTTTCATGGTTGATTGATTTTTGTTTTAATTTTATTTTTTTCATGGTTGACTGCTTTTTCATGGTTGATTAGTTTTTTTATTTTATTTCCATGGTTGATTGATTTTTTTTTCATGGTTGCTTGATTTTTTATTTTTTTATTTTTTCAGTGTTGATTGGTTTTATTTTTTTTATGGTTGATTGGTTTTTTTTATATATTTTTTTCCTGGTTGATTGATTTTTTTCATAATTTTCATGGTTGATTGAGTCTTGTTATTTTTGTCAAATTTTTCATGGTTGATTGGTTTTATTTTTATTTTCTTTTTTTCATTGTTGATTGGTGTTATTCATTTATTATTTTTTTTCCTGGTTGATTGGTTTTTTTGTTTTTTTTTCATGGTTTATTGACTTTTTGTATTTTTTTCAAATTTTTCATGGTTGATGATTTTTTTTTGGTGGTTAATTGGTTTTTTTTATTTTCTTTTTAATTTTTCATAGTTTATTGGTGTTTTTTATTTTTTCATTTTTTCACGGTTGATTAATTTTTATATTCTGTTTAAATTTTTCATGGTTGATTGATTTTGTTTATTTTTTTCATGGTTGATTGATTTTTTACTTTTTTTCACATTTCTCAAGGCTGATTGGTTTCTTTTTTTTCATTTTTTTCATGGTTGATTGGCTTTATTTATTTTTCTCTATATTTTTTATGATTGATTGGTTTTATTTTTTTTTCATGTTTGATTGATTTTTTTATTTTTTTTCAATTTTTTCATGGTTGATTGGTTTAATTTTTTTCATGGTTGATTGATTTTTTAATTCTTTTACACATTTTTCATGGTTGATTGGTTTGATTTATTTTTTTTAATTTTTTTCATGGTTGATTGGGTTTATTTATTTATTTTCAATTTTTTTCATGATTGATTGGATTTTTTATTTTCTTATTTTTTCATGGTTGAACGGTTTTTATAATTTTTTTATTGTTGAATGGTTTTTTTTAATTTTTTTCATGGTTGAATGGTTTTATTTTTTTTATTTCTTTAATGGTTGATTGGTTTTATTTAATTTTTTTTATTTTTTTAATGGTTGAATGGTTTTATTTATTTCTTTTGTATTTTTTCAATGGTTGTGTTCGGGTTTTCACGTAAATTTTCATTGCGTAGTCGATTAAGGTTTTGGTTTAGTGTAATTAAGCCTTAAAATGTATCTTGTGACTTGGTGACGCAGCTTTTCTGTTTACCATATTTTCTAATTGCTTCGATTATAATAATTACACTTTCGTTTGAGCCAACTGACGTTAATTGAATAGAGCATCGTCATTGGTAGTTTATTTTGGATTAATTAGTTTACAGTATATATATAGAACGTTGAGATTTTGTTATTGCGTGCGTGCAACTGGGGGTGGTTGTGCGAACCCAGCTGTGATTTGCTGAATAATATGAAATGTGAAAAGCTCAAATGACTTTTTCTTCAGTGTTTTCTCTGGAATACAAAGTTTAAAAAGAATCAGCAAGATAGATCCTGAGAGGTCTAAAAATCTGGTCCACCGAACCTAGATGTATTTGTGTTTCAGTGAATGAACTATGGATGAACTGAAGAAGAAGAGAAACATCAGAGGAGGACATAGAGCTTTTGCAACGCAGTTGATCAGACAGATTGAAGATAGTCTTGAAGATCAATTGAAGTTGAAGCAGCTTGAGATACAGCTAGATGAGAAATTTGAAGTCTTAGAAAAATTGGATGACGAAATTTTGGGTCTTGTAAGCGAAATTGATGAAGATGGTTTGGGATGCTTACAAGAAATTTCTGAGGCTGGAGAGATGAAGGAAAAAATAAATCTAGCGCTGCTCAAGTTGAAGAGTTTAGTGAAGAACGAGAAGCAGTTGGAATCGCAGAAGCCTAATTTAACTAGACATGGCTCAGAAGAATCAGTTTATTCTGTAGAAAGTTCAGCGTCGTCAGCAACTCGTAAAGTTCGTGCGAAGCTACCGAAGTTGGAACTGAAAAAATTTAGTGGCCGCCCCCAAGATTGGCAGGAGTTCTGGGATAGTTATAAAAGTGCGGTTTACGAAAACGAAGAAATTTCAAAGATAGACAAGTTTTCGTATTTGAAGCACTATTTGGAAGAACCTGCCAAAAAAGTAATTGCTGGACTTGCTTTGACTGAAAAAAATTATGACGTAGCTGTCGATTTGCTTGAACAGAGATTCGCGCGACCAACGACGATAAAAAGGGCACATATCAACGAGCTTCTGAATCTAGATGCGGTTTTCAATGAAAAACATGTTAAGAAGATGCGAGAACTTTATGATACTATTGAGACACACCATCGTGGATTGAAAGCCCTAGGAGTTGACGAAACATCATACTCGAACATAGTTGTACCTGTTTTAATGGACAAGGTTCCAGAGGCTGTTCGCCTGAACATGATTCGAGGAAGTAAGAATCACCAAGAATGGGATATGGAAGAAATGCTTGTGGCTTTTCGAGAAGAATTGGAGATTCGTGAACAGCATGTTTCGATTTCAATGGCTTTGGGAAATGGGACCGTTTCTGGTAGGACGTCATCAGAACGGCGAAGTGAGATGAAACCGAGGTTTCCTGGTCGAACAACAACAGCGAGTGCGTTGTTTACGAAACAAGATGGTGGATTTGCGAGAAGAAAGTTCTGTGTATTTTGTAAAGAAGATCATGAAGAAGCCGATTGTCACAACGTCAGGAACAAGGAAGAAAGGAAGGATCTTGTTTTTAAATATGGACGTTGTCTTTTGTGTTTAAAAAAGGGACACAGAGCTTACCAGTGTCATTCGAAGGAAAAATGTAAGTTGTGTAACAAACGACACCATGTTGCAATTTGTAATGTTGTTGGTAGTCAGCCTAGTGCTAACCAAGCTCGTGTCAAGACTGTTGATACTACTGTTACCACTTCTTGTGTAAGTAATATAGATTCTGGGGGGAGAGCAGTCTTGCAAACCGCCAAGGCCGTAGTTACAGGTAGCATAAGGAATGTTAAGGCACGTGTTCTTTTTGACTCAGGTAGTCAGAGGAGTTTTGTAACACGAAGTATGGTAGAAAAACTTGGTTTGAGCCCCATTAAGCAAGTGCGCTTAGGTATAAAGACATTCGGATCTCAAAATATGGACGAGAAGATAAGAGATGTGGTCGAGTTGGAGTTGAAAGGAGTTGAAAGTGGAGGGAAAGTGAAAATACAGGCCTTTGTTGTTAATGAAGTTTCAGAAATACGCAATGAGCATGTTGAAATATTGAAGTATGATTATAAGCATCTTACTAACTTGTGGTTTTCAGATGTTTGTAGGCACGAAGATTCCCTTATTATAGACATTTTAGTTGGAAGCGATTGGCTTTGGACGCTTCAAGATGGTCGTATAATACGAGGGGAGCCAGGAGAGCCTGTTGCCATTCATACTAAGATTGGATGGGTTGTGTCAGGGCCAATAAAGGGTAAGTTAACTGATTTAGCAGAATCTTGTTCTTCAAATTTGGTTGTAAATGGTAATGGTATAACAGTTAATTTGATGCACCAGAATAAGGAACAGGAATTAGAACAAGACATTAAAAAACTGTGGGATCTTGAGACTTTAGGAATTAAAAGGCAAGATAAGGTGCATGAAGAATTTTTGGATAATATAGAGTTTAAAGGAGATAGATACTCTGTTCGTTTGCCTTGGAAAATGGGGCACAAGCCCCTTTCTACTAATTATACTCTTAGTCTCAACAGATTGAAGGGGCAGTTGAAAAAGCTCAAGGAGAAGCCTGCAATAATGGAAACCTATGATGGGATTATAAAGCAACAAGAAAGGGATAGAATCATTGAAGAGGTTACAAGTCTTGAGCTAAGTGAGAAGCTTAGTTATCTGCCACACCATGCCGTTGTACGAAATGATGCAGAAACAACAAAGGTAAGAATAGTATATGATGCCTCTGCAAAAGATAGGAAGTCAGGTACCTCTCTAAATGAGTGTTTACATGTTGGACCACCATTAAATCCACTTTTGTTTGATATCATGATAAGATTCAGAGAAAATAAGATTGCAATAACATCTGATATCGAAAAGGCATTTTTGAATATTGAAGTGGATAAAAAGGATAGAGATTGCTTGAGGTTCTTATGGGTTGATAGTTCTTGTGATAGTGAACCAAACATTAAAGTTTACCGCTTTAATCGTGTTGTTTTCGGAGTAAATAGTTCTCCTTTTTTGTTGAATGCTGTTGTAAGACATCATTTAAGTACTTATGAAACAGCTGTTCCAGAGTTCTCAGC